TTCTACACATCGAAGGTATTATTTTCAGTTCTATTTTCTTATTTTTAAAATTGCATTGTTTTTGTTATTTTATTTGTCTGCCTTAAACATGCCATAACTTCCGTATTGCTTTGGATTTGGTCTGATACTTGATTTTGCAATTTTTTTTTTCTTCAGTTGTTTTATGAACTTGCACATGATAGGTGATTTGGCTTACAATCACTGCTGGAAATTGAAGTTTTAGAGGCGTTTAAAAAACGCCGCTACAGGTCTTAAAAATGCCATTTAATCTTTTTGTGACGTTTAGCACCAAACGTCGAAGACGCAGCCGTCGCTATAACTCTACGACGCTTTAGAAACGTCACTGTATGACTGTAGGTGGCGTTTACCCAATGTCACATGACGTCACCATGCTATTTAACGACGTTTTTAAAACGCCGTCGTATCTCCTTTTCCCCAAAAATCCAACCGTTAGGATGCTATTTAGCGACGTCTTAGAAACGCCGTAATAGCCCTCTTTTTTTTTTCCTTTCTAATTTGTGCTAATTTTATGTTAAATGCCTGTAATTTCAGTAGTAGACAAACTTTTAAATATAGCAATACAAAAAATTATTAAAAAATGTAAAGCCATGGTACAGAATTACAAAATATTGAAGCAAAAAAAAATCATCATCCCATCAAAGAACCAATTAAGGAAACAGAGAATTATAAAGAAAAAATCACCATCCAAAATAAATAAAAATATCTCAGGTGCCACCACACAAATCCTCCTCTGTATCTTCATAATTTTCGTCTCCATCTTCATCATTATCACTATTATTAACACCTCTTACAATTCCACCATTACAACAATCCAAATCAAACCAAACACTCCTCATCTCTTTATAAAGAAAGCTACATTACTGTATCAAAAACCTCATTCTTCACAATTCTAACACTCATTTCTTAAACTTCCAAATAATATGAAATGTGAACATTCACATTGATTGACAGAAAAACCAAAAATAATGGCAGTAATAGAACTATAAATCCAAAAAAAAAAAAAAACTCAATCTCTCTGAAAACAAAAAATTATCACCCACATCTTCAGCTTCATCATATCACTATCATTAACAACCCATGTAATTTCACCATTCCACCAATCCAAATCAAATTAAACCCACCTTCAAAGAACAAGTATTCAAATCCATCTCATCTTTCCCTTTGATTCAATTTAGTTGAATGTGGGTTTTAGTCAATCTACTGAACAAGTTTGTAAGCCATTACCCCTGTTTTTTTGATCCAAATCCTTTTCTCTTCCTTTTTATTTCTGGCTGAAATCATAACTGGAAAAAAAAAAAAAAAAAAACAGAGCATAAACTCTGAGTCGTCATCTTCTCTTCTACAGGAATGAAACCGTATCGCAATGAAACATTACCGCGAACTATGTGCCGTCGTCTTCTCTCTTATAGGAACAAAATCCTACCACAACAAAAACAGAGAGAAACATATATATTATTTTGTATGTAATATATATCAACATATAGACAAAAAGGTATAATAGTCCAATAAAAAATATAAATCAGGAAAAAAGGACCTTATGGAATAAAAGTATAAATACATGGGACTAATTAGGTTATAATTTTTCTTTGTTGACTTATTGGGATAGAACATCTCTAGATGGGATTTATTAATAAAAAACCCTTTTTATAATGGAAGAGATTTACATGTAAGGTACATTTAAAAAAGTAAAAAAATTATTTAAAATTTTAAAAATATTCACTAAAAATAAAAAAAATAAAAAACTCAATTTTTAAAATATTAAATTCAAAAAATTGAAACTAAACCCCTCATTGTTATTTTCAATTTCAAGGTTATAAACTCAAATTATAAAAAAAAAAAAAAAATCAATGTAAATAAAATATTCAAAAACAACGTCGTAATAAACAAAGATACAAAAACTCGCCCTTCTCTCCAATCATCTAGACTCACTTTGTATACCACAATGCATACACCCTCCTTATACATCTCCCCTGTTCGCAACATCCACTTAAACCCCAAAAATGCTTGGTTTCACTTTTTAAAAAACATTTTTTTAAAAATTTCACTTTCTTATTTTTCGTTTTTTTTTTTATTTATATTTTTACTGATTTTTTTTTTTTATATTTTAAGTAATTTTTAAAATTTTTAGACATACATAACTTAGATGTATTTAAAAAGTAAAAAATTTGTGAAGAAAACCTTTTAAAAATTCACTAAATATCCAAAATATAAAAAAAATACGAGAATTCAACACATTTTTTATATTTTTATGTATTTATTAATTTTTTAAAATATTTTTTCATAAATTTTTTACTTTTTAGATACATCTAAGTAAGATGAATCTAAAAGTAAAAAAAATGTTTAAAATTTTAAAAATATTCACTAATATCAAAAAAACACAAAAACCAAAAAACTTAATTTTCAAAAAATTTAATTCAAAAAACTCAAACAAAACATTATAATCCAACGGATCAAACACACTCGTTACAAACACTTAATCTGGACTCGCCCGTATCCTAACCCTCTCGCTCTCTCTCTCTCTTCAAAGCCTTTCTCTCACTAAAAAAAATATTTTTTCAACGGCCGACACGTGCAGACGTCCCAGAAACTCTTCCTCCTGTTTTATCTCTTCCCCAATTATCAGCGCGCGCGCAAACACACACAATACAAAGAGAGAGAGGGAGAGAGAGCAAAATCTCCGATCTGGTACATAAATATACATCGCCAATTCACTTTTACACACCTATGCGTATACTCATTTTGGATTTCACATTTTGATTTTGAGTTTTTTTGGTGTATTTTTCATTGCATATTGTCGTAGAAGGACCTGTTTCTACGGTTTCTTCTTCGAAAAATGGCCGCTCCACCTGTTAGAGCTCGAGCCGATTACGATTACCTTATAAAACTCCTCTTGATCGGCGACAGCGGTAAGTTTCTCTATTTTTCTCAATTTTTTTGTGAAGATCTTGTTAACATTTCATAATAGCTTGCTTTGGGAAATTTATTATTTTTTTAAAATTTATTTTTAGGTTATGTAGATTTATTAGATGCATTCTATTGGGGGAAATGATTGAATTTGACTTGTGATGCATATATTTTTTTTGTTGGGTATTTGATTTTGTCTACATTTGGAAACTAGTTTTTCAAAGTCAATGTTACGCATCAAAGTCAATACAATTTGAGGTTGCCGTATACGGATTGTGTTTGGTGCGCCATCAGACATTGTTTTGTGCACAGTGGGAAAGAAAAGATGCCTCTTTTATGTAGTCACTAACTGGATTTGATGGTAGATGTTGAACAAAGAGTAAACCACTTTAGGATTAAAAATGGATTTGAATGAGTAGATGGTATGTGGAAATGAAGTTTTGAACTAGGATGGAAGCTAGTTCCGGCATTTTTCTAGAGTAGAGACCTTTTTTTTTTCCGTCCATTAACGGGTTTTCATTATCAATCTTGAGTTATTTTTGTAAAACAGAATGTAATACTGAAAGGGATTTTTAAAAATGTTGATGAATAGAATGATTGTAACTGTCCCAACTAAATAAACTGCCAACATCACTGCCTGATATCTCTTAACATCTGGGTTTGGATCTCCTTTGTTTCTTCCTTTCCTTTAGTAGGGGCTGTAGCATTGATAAGTACTCACTCACCCTATCTATATGGGAAAATGTTATGCAACAATGTTTACCAGAATGGTTTGCAAATTTGGACAATTGTTGTTGTGCTACAATTTCTAACCCCATTAATATTTTACATGCCGCCAAGGTTGATTTTAATTTTTAATTTTATCATTTTAACCATTTCATTTTCCCTTAGTGTGTTTGATAGAATACGTCTGTTTTAAACAATGAAACGAAGAAATACATAAACTTTCAATTTACATTCATTAAGACTTCTAGAAAAGAAAACTGAAAACCTAGAGTTAAGTACTTCCTCCAAAATTGTCACACTGTTTTAGGGAGATGGATAATGGTAATGATGCTTCCATCTGGGATGCGAAGGAAGGTCATTTGTCCCGCAAAGAGATCTGAGATTGAGCAAAGCAAGATGGGTTTGTCCCCCTCTCCTCTCCTGTTATGGAAATCATCTAACACATAGGTAAGCAATGACAAGGCAGCCTTTCTTCCATTTTTTTGTGGAATGGCAAGTGCCTAAGAGGCACAAACATGGACACGGGATACAATAATTTCAAAACAATGGGGACAGGGACACAACAATAAATTTTTATTTATTTTTTAATGTATTTTTATTTACTATGTAGATTAATATTACAATTATAAACAATCAAAATTAATAAAAATTAATACTAATTTAATATTAAAAAAAAAACCTCACTGGCATTGAGACACATCAAATTCATAGAAGTCGTAGTGATGTGACTATTTTAGAGATTTTTGATAATTTCTAGAGTTCACATCATATTTGTTAGGATTAAACACACTCACTAAATGATCAACAAGCAATCACACACACAAATGAGACACAAATATTTATGTGGTTCGGCCCAATGCCTACGTCCACGGGAGAAAGAGAGAATGCACTATAACAGAGCAAAAAATACAAAACAGAGTAGGAGGAGTTTCTCACTCTCTTTACTCAACTAAGAGCTTTGATACACTTCTCACAACTCTCTCTTTTTCTTCACTTTATGATATCTCTCAGCTCACAGCTCTTCTCAATTTATACACAAACGGGAGAGCCTCTGCTTGCCAACCTCTACTTGCCAACAACCAACTATAAAAGATTAAATGGCAAGCTTACTACACAACCACCCTAAGTTTGAAAATCTTTAAAAAAACTATATTTATAGCCTCTATACTTGACTTCCATAGCCAAGTTCACATTGGTGTGGATACTCAACAATTCTCCCCTTCCACACCTATGGGAAGTGGGCTCCTTACTAGAAGTCCATCCCAGTAATGTCCTTGCATACTTCGAGTTTGCCTCTCGAGACCACCTTTGTAAGCATGTCAGCTGGATTCTTATTTGTATGGATCTTGACAAGTTCCAATAACTATTTCTTCATCACTTTGCATATCCAATGATACTGAATGTCAATGTGCTTCATGCGAGAATGGTACATAGAATTCTTGCTCAGGTCTATGGTACTCTGGCTATCATAATGTATCGTGAACTTTTCTTGCTTTAGTCCCAATTCTTGAAGAAACCGCTTTAACCACATCTCTTTCTTAGCTTCCGCTACGGCAATATACTCTGCCTCGGTTGTAGATAAAACAACACATTTTTGCAGCTTGGACTGCCAAGACGCAGCACCCTTTGCGAAAGTGAACAGAAATCCCTGATGTAGATTTTCTACCATCAAGATCGTTTGCCATATCTGAAACAGTATAGCCTTCCAAGACTGGTTTAGCTCCTCCAAAGCACAAACACATTTTAGATGTACCCTTAAGGTACCTCAGAATCCACTTGACTGCTTCCCAATGCTCTTTTCCTGGATTGGAAAGAAATCTGCTCACAACTCCAACAGTATGAGCAATATCTGGTCGGGGTAGATACCATTGCATACATTAAACTCCCTACTACAGAAGAATAAAGAATTGCCTCCATCTCTTCTCTTTCTTTTGTAGATGAGGGACAAGAACTCTTGCTCAGCTTGAGATGATTAGCTAGTGGAGTACTGACTGGCTTGGCATCTTTCATGTTAAACTTCTCAAGCACACCCATTCAACATACTTCTCCTATGACAACCACAACTTCTTGGCTTTCCTATCACATATAATTTTCATACCCAAAATTTGCTGTGTAGGGCCTAGGTCCTTCATGTCAAAGGACTGTGATAACTCATTCTTCAGTGATTTGATTGTTGTGGCATCCTGTCCAATAATCAGCATGTCATCATAGGAGTGATGAAATTTCCTCAGGGAAATTTCTCGACATATACACACTGGTCTGCAGCGGTTCTCTTGTACTCATTACCCACCATGAATGAGCAAACTTCTTGTACCACTGTCTCAGCGCTTGTTTGAGGCTTTAGAGACTCTTCTTTAATCTGCAGACTAAGTTTTATTTCCCTTTTACTTCAAAGCCTTCTGGTTGCTCTATGTAAATTTCTTCCTTCAAATTACCATGGAGAAATGTCGTATTCACATTCATTTGTTCAAGTTCCAAATTCAAACTAGCTGCTAGTCCCAAAACTACTCAAATGGATGTCATTTTCATAACTGGCGAGAAGATATCATCAAAATCAATACCTTTTTTCGACCCAAAACCTTTGACAACCAATCAAGCCTTGTATTTGACTAGCTTTCTGCTGCCATCTTTCTTCAACTTGAACACCCATTTGTTCTTCAATGCTTTTCAACCCTGAGGAAGTTTTACCAAATCACAAGTCTGATTTTTCTGCAAGGACTGCATCTCTTCTTACATAGTTTACTGCCAGCTACTCTTCTCCTTAAGAATCTGAGCTTCTAGAAAACTTTCTGGCTCCCTCTCATCAGTAAGCAAAATATACTCAGAAGTAGGGTATTTTGACAACAGTTTAGGCTCTCTTGTTAATCTTCGTAACTGTACACCAATAGTCTCTGGCAGAGGGGGTTGTGGCTCCCCTGCTCAACTCCCTCTTCTTCTGGAAATCCATCATGCACCTCTACATCATTGGTTGCATCACTACAAGAATTTTCATTTTTGACGACTAAAATTTTAGTCGCCAAAAGTTAATTTTTAGTTGCCGAAGGGTTTTAGCAACTAAATTATTTGGTCGCAGAAGTAGTCGTCGAAGAATTGTCAGTAAAGGTAATAAGCGACTAAAATTATTTTACTCACCAAATGTATACAATTTCGACTAAATTTTTAGTCGCCAAAAGGTTGGACATTAAATTAAATTTGTACATTTTCGGCGATCAAACTTTTAGTCGCCTAAAGTCCCACATTTTTAGCTACTAAAATTTTAGTCGGCAAAGAGTTCTTGTTTTGGCTACTAAAAATTTAGTCTCCTAAAGTCCCACATTTTTGGCTACTAAAATTTTAGTCAGCAAAGAGTTCTTGTTTTGGCTACTAAATATTTGGTCGTCTAAAATCCCACGTTTTTGGCTATTAAAATTTTAGTCGGCAAAGAGTTTTATTTTGGCTACTAAATATTTGATCGCCTAAAGTTACACATTTTTGGCTGCTAAATTTTTAGTTGGTAAAAGTGTTTTTATTCTTTAGCTTTTGTTTTTAGCTACGAAATATTTTAGTCGCCAAATGTTTGATTTTCTTTTGGCTACAAAACTTTTAGTTGCTGAATGTCTATTTTTTTTTTTTGCTACAAAATTTTTAGCCGCCCAAACTATTTTCCCAATTTCTTTTTAGCTACTAATTGTTTAGTCGCCAAAAACATGATATTATGTTTTATCGAAAAATTATAATTTCTTCACAACCTGTCTATATTCCATGCAACCTGTAATACGTATATGAACAAAATGATACATACTATCAATCATTCCACAATCTGCATCCATATACAAAAAATAAATAACTTTAAATGTCAAAGTCCATACAAACCAACTATTGTCTAAACTAAAATAATAATTCCATATAAAATATATCATACAAAAATTAAAGCCGGTATACAAAAAAATACCTTTACTACCAAGCGAAATTATCATTTGGCGTGGTACAAATTACCATCGTAATCTATACTATGACAAAAGGTGATATATGTATCACGACAAAAGTTTTTCTATAGACCATGACAAAATGTCATATATATACGCTGACAAATGGTCATATATATGTACCACGACAAAAGTTTTTCTATAGACTATGACAAAAGGTCATATATGTACACCGACAAATAATCATATATGTACCACGACAAAAGGTGATTTATATACCACGACAGTCATTATTTGTTGATTGCCAAAAGTTTTCTGTATCAGTAATAGTGAACTACACATAAGCTGAGAACGACAAAAGTATTATATTAGTTCTATACAAAAGTGAAAATTCTTCTCTGTACACCAAAATGGATTATCCACAAGTCCACGCAACAAAGCCATCTAAAAAAAAACAAAAAACAAAAAACAAAACATTAGAATTGGTTACAAAATATCAATTCAGTTAGCCATAGGGAACATGTTCTAACATGCATTTAAGGTAGAACATTCGAGAAATGTCTTCTTGGAAATAAAAGAAAGTATATATATATATATATATATGTATCATATAATATTTATTCCAACCAACTGTACAAACAATCTAATATGCAATTTCTTCGTCCTATAAATATATAAAGGCAATTATTAGAATATGTAGATGTTATTTTTATAAAGTTGTCGTTCTTTAAACTAAGTGTTGCGAGTTTTTCGACAAAGTATAAGGCGTTTTCGACTCAAACTCCAAGCCTACAGGTCCTAATTACATTCCGTCAGTTGTCACAGGTCGTAATTGTCATGGGGAAGCAGTCTGTGAGAGTCAAACGGTGGTTCGGGGGCTGTTTTGAATTTTCGCCCCCGAAACGCTGTTTTTCGAGTAAGTTTAAGGCGTATTCGGCTCTAACTCCCAACCTACAGGTCCTAATTACATCCCGTCAGTTGTCACAGGTCGTAATTGTCATGGGGAAGCAGTCTGTGAGAGCCACACGGTGGTTC